TCCCCTGGAGAAGGAAATGGCTACCCACTCTAGTACTCTTGCCTGGAGAATCCCATGGACAGAGGAGCCTGGCGGTCTACAGTCCATGGGGTCACAAAGAGTGGGACATGGCTGAGTGACTAACACACTTTTCTCACAGAACTGAATACCACTATAGAAATGGTCTTTAGAAAATCTGAGTTATTGAGTCTACTTTATTTTTTAATAAATTTCCTCTCTCCTGCCTACTGTCAAGATGTCAGTATATCATTAATTACTGTCATCGGTGTGTCCACATCTAATGACCACCATACCCTCCCCACTACCACCATTCTAACTGGCTATTACCGGCTATGTCTGAGACAAGAGAGAACCACGCTAATTAAAACAGTATGGACATGTACACAGTAGTATATTTTAACTGGATAACCAAAAAGGACCCACTGTATAGGACAGAAAACTCTGCTCCATAATACGTAACAATCTAAATGGAAAAAGAATTTGAAAAGAATAGATACATGTATATGTATAACTGAATCACTTTACACCTGAACTAACACAACATTGTTAATCAACTACACTCTAAAAATAAAAAGTTAAAAAAACAAAAATAGAGTTTGTAAAACAAAAGCAAAGAGGCTCTATTTGAGAGCCTAACTTATCGGTACAGTATGCAAGCTCCTAGTACATGAACTTAGTAACATCAAATCTGGTTACTCATAAGCTTCTTCTGGTTAATTTCTGCTTTTTAATTTTATTCCTGATTCTTGACTATGTACAGTCCCTGATTCTTTGTTCTTGATTCTACACAGTTAAACTATTATCGCATTGGGAAACAATTATTCCTTCACATCTGCCTTCCTACCTAGATTACAAGCTCCATGAGTTCAGGGGCCACATTTTATTCACCTTTGTACTCTAGTGTCTAGCTCAGCGTCTCACATGCTGCAAGCTCTCAACAGATGTTTGTTTCCTAAATGCCTCCTATAGGCAGACATGAGTGAAGTTTAAGGACACAATAGTAATTTGTGGCCATATGCAAACAAGCTTTCAGTAAGGAACAAGGAGCTCTAAGGCTATACAACAGCTGGCTGCTTCGCCAGAGCATTACAGAGCGTAAAGATTTTGTTAAGGGTGTGAGGATTTTGTTAAGTCACTACACAGGCACAGTCTGAGTGTTCCTTAGCTCTGGGGCTAACTTGTTTCAGTTAATTCAGCGTAAGTATTTACTGAATCTGGCCACCTGAGTTTAGTAGTTAGGTGAGAACTATCATATCACTCTACCTCCAATGAGTCCCTCAAATTCATTTTCTTCTCTCCATCATCACTGCTGCCACCCAAGTCTAGGCCATCATCATCTCTCTACTGGAGTATGCCAATTTATTCTCCATAAACCTTTTCTTAAAAAGCAGTTCTGATCACATCACTCTTCAAGTTTTTCAAAGCCTTCCTTCTACCCTTAAGATAATGTCTGCTAAGTCGCTTCAGTCGTGTCCAACTCTGGGTGACCCCATAGACGGTAGCCCACCAGGCTCCCCCATCCCTGGGATTCTCCAGGCAAGAACACTGGAGTGGGTTGCCATTTCCTTCTCCAATGATAAGAGGTGAAAAGTACCAACACTACACTACTTTAAATACAACTAACGAGACTGCAATAAAAACTCAAGTCTAATCATAAAATACATTAATATTAAGATAATATAGACGGTAGCCCACCAGGCTCCCCCATCCCTGGGATTCTCCAGGCAAGAACACTGGAGTGGGTTGCCATTTCCTTCTCCAATGCATGGAAGTGAAAAGTACCAACACTACACTACTTTAAATACAACTAACGAGACTGCAATAAAAACTCAAGTCTAATCATAAAATACATTAATATTAAGATAATGTCTAAATCCCCTAAAATGGCTTAACAGGCCCAGTCTGATCTGCCCCTGTAGCTGTACAGATCACCACTCACTGCCTAGTAGTCCTTACCCTAGCCATATCATCCTATAAATAAGTCCATAATTAGACCATGCTATGTTCCAGTGAGAAACTTTGCTCAGGTATGTCAAGGAAATCTCAATGAGCATTTAAAACACTCAAATTATGGACTGAGTTTTCTAAAGCTAACAGGTTCCTCAAGATCAACTGTTAATAACTCTGTCATGGATCTAAAGAAGTGTTTCCTTTTTGAAAAGGAAGAAAGAAAAATACAAAGCAATACTGTTACTGGAGGAGGAAAGCTGAAAACAAACTTATTGAAAAAAAAGCACCAAAGTCTCCATGCCATGGTTCCTATCACTCAGCACATAGTGGCCAGTCAATAAATGTTTGTTGAATGTTTTAACGAATGAGTGACCAAAGTGAATAGGAAATGAGAAATTCTGGGGACAGAACAACCCAGAAATATTAAGGGGAGGATGCATGTGTCCCAATTCTGACCAAAAAAGACTCAAGGAAAGAGTTGCTGGAGGTTTCCAGGAAGGGTCTTCATTCTTTTAAGAGAGCATGGAAAGACCTGTTTCTCTCCTACAGGACACTAGTGAGTGCAGGTAGCCCTGGCTGCTATTATACAACCACTTAGCATGCTGACAAAACGGGAAACTGAAACAGAGTCTCCCATCCTGAGAGCCAACGTTGAACTTGTGGTCCTTCTACCCCTGAACTTATTATGTGAGCCAATAAACATTCTTATTCTTTAAGTCAGTCTGACTGTTACTTGTAGCCCAAAGCCTCCTAATTGATCCTTTCTGGGAAGCAGTAAGGAGAAAATCATGTTGCAGATGATGAACACAACATATTAGCATTTCGTTCTGTAACCTAACCAGAAACTAATCTTTAAAAAATAGCGAAATTGGGATTTTCCTGATGGTCCAGTGGATTCTGGACACCAGAATTAGATTCTGCACACCAATGCAGGGGAGGAGGGTTTGATCCCTGGTCAGGGAACTGGATCCCACATGCTGCAACGAAGACCCAGTATAGCTGAATAGAATAAAATAAATTAAAAAGATAAAAAATAGCAAAATAACTGTTTTAAAGGAATACAGATCTTCTATGCACTGGTAAGCTATATCAAACAAAAGCTATATTAAGTAATTCCAAATGTATTTTCTATGAAAAAAGGTATTCAGCTTTCATGGAACTAACAGTAGGTTAGACTTACAGAAGAAAATACTAATGAATTGGAAGGCACAGCAATATAAAATATCCAGAAAAACACAGAGAGAAAAAAGACTGGGGAGGGGGCGGTGAGTAAACAGAACATAAGTGGGCTGTGAGAAGATGTCATGTGACTCAGCATACGTCACTGGAGACACCAAAGGAAACGTGGGAGAGTATAGAAAAATATTTGAAGAAATAATATTAAAATTTTTCCAAATTTGATTAAAAATGATAAATCCATAGATCCAAGAATAAACAAATCACAAACATAAGAATCATGAAGAAAACTAAACCAAACCCATTACAATCAAATTGTTTAAAACCAGTGATAAAGAGAAAACCTTAAATGCAGCCAGAGGAAGACACATTACATACAGAGAGAACAAAGAGAAAAATGACAACAGAGCTCTCCTAAGACAAGCCAGAGGACAGAGATGCATCATCTGTAATGTAAAGAAAGCAAAAAAAAAGATCAACCTAGAGTTCCATACTCAGTGGATATTTCTTTTGAAGGGAAAGCAAAATGAAGACTTTTCCAGTCATATAAAAGTTGAAAGAGTTCACCAACCACAGATTCATACTACTAGAAATGTTAAAGGAAAACCATTAGGCAAAATGAAAATGATACCAAATGGAAATATGAAATCTACACAAAGGCATGAAGAGGCCCAGAAATGTAAATATACAAACCTTTTTTTCTTATTTTTAAAAACCTCTTTAAAAAATAATTGAATGCCTAAAGCAAAAATAATAACGTATGGTAGAGCTTATAACATATGTGGAAGAAGTAAGAAGTATGATAACAATAGCACCAAGGTCAAGGAGAAAGAGAAGAATGAAAGTACATTGTTAAGTTTTTACACTGTGTGAAGAGGTATAATATTACTTGAAGTAGTAAATTAAAAATGTATATTCTAAGCCTTAAACCATAAAGCAACTACTGAAAAAAACAAAAAACAGAATTATATCTAACAAAACAACAAAGGAGATAAAATGGAATCATTAAAAATGTATTCAAAAAAAGGGGGGTGGGGTAAAGAGGAAAGACAAACAAAGAACAGATGTGACAAGCAGAAAACAAATAGCAAGATAGATCAAACCCTGAAGATAACTGATTAATGTAAAAACCTGAAGAGCCCACATAAAAGGCACACATTGTCAGACTGGGTAAGAAGACTCAACTAAACTCTGTCTACAAGAAGCACACTTGGAAAAAAAAAAAAAAAAAAGAAGCACACTTGAAACATAACAAAACAAAAAGGCTAAAAGTAAATGATTGAAAAAACATCTATCATGCTAACGCTAATCACAAGAAAGCTGAAACTGCCATAGAAATACCAAGCTAGTAGATTTCAGAGCAAAGAATATAATAAAAGATAAAGAGTCATTTAATAACCATAAAAGGGTCAATTCATCAACAGTACATAACAATTGTAAACATTTATGCACCCAGTAAGTCAATCCACCAAAACAAGGAAAGAGAAACACACCTTTCATGGTTAAAAGGTAGCATCAGCATTTCTCAATCAGAACCGAACATTACCGAAATAGGAATTAAGATCTTTTAATGTAGTAAGCGGCATGCAATTTTAACTAAAAGTGCAGTACTCCCCAGTATAAGAGTCAAAGAGTCAAAGGTGGTTGTTGTTCAGTCTCCAAATTGTGTCCAGCTCTTTGTGACCCCATGGACTGCAGCACCCCAGGCTTCCCTGTCTTTCACTATCTTCCTGGAGTTCACTGCAATTTGTGTCCATTGAGTCAGTGATGCTATCTAACCATCTCATCCTAAGGTAGCAGTGTGTTAAACAGCTTATCAAAGTATTTATGACTTCACTGCCAAAGCTGGTCAAAGCAATATAAAGCTGACTCACCTTTCATATTGCCTATCTCTTGGTGATGAAGCACCCCAATGTCGAAAGTCCATGATTAACATAAGTAAAAGGAGACAGGATATGAAGAAGAGTCCTAGGAATGCCACCCGCTGCCGGGGAAATGGGCTCACTGTGGGCACAGTGAAGTACCAGGAGGCTGGGCAGAGGAAGGAAAAACTGATCCTGAAATAAGACAAACATTAGTAAGAAAAGTCTCTACAACTGAGTGCTAAAAATGATTTTAAAACTGGATTAAAGCCCTTCCTAATAAAGGCAAATAATTTATGCCACCAGAAGTCTAAATGTTCATTTAGTCTCTCAAAGTTTAGAAAAGGACCTAGATGGTTATGGAACTTTTACTATATAAACTAAAAAAGCCTTCTCTGCTCTTTTTCCAGAGTCTGCACTTTGGGGTGAAATTCAAAGAACTAACTTCATGTTAATGAAAAGATCACCAGTCTCCCTGTGCAAACTCATATAACATTGAAGAATCAGAGCACTTGCAATGGTCCCACCAAGAATACTGTCAAAAAGACAGAAGAGACAGAAAATTTATTAACTGATTTTTAAAACTATTTTAATGGGTAACATATGCACACAGAAAGAAAAAAATATCAGTTTAAAGGATATGTAGTGGAGAGTGAGTCTTGTGCCTTAACCCCTCATTTCCCTCTCAGAAGCAACCACTATTACCCAGGGATATTCTGTGTGTGTGTGTGTGTGTGTGTGTGTGTGTGTCAGAGGCAACCACTATTACCCAGGGATATTCTGTGTGTGTGTGTGTGTCAGAGGCAACCACTATTACCCAGGGATATTCTGTGTGTGTGTGTGTGTGTCAGAGGCAACCACTATTACCCAGGGATATTCTGTGTGTGTGTGTGAGAGGCAACCACTATTACTCTCTCAGAGGCAACTACTACTACCCAGGGATATTGTGTGTGTGGGGGGCAGGGGGTGGTGTTTGTGTGTATGTGTGTGTCCTTCACTTAGTCGTGTCTGACTCTTTGCAATCCCATGGACTTTATGCAAACACAAGAATAAACACATACCATCAAGGTAATATATCTCTGTGTGTGTATCTCCACTCCTTTGGTTTTACACCAGTAGGTATAATGTCCTGCATCTTTCTCCATTTATTCTATTTGACAACTGTCTCATTTGGTACAAATTGCCCCACACATCCACATAAACCTTTTCTGAAACCTTCAGAGTATTATAATGTATGAATAAGTGTATTCAACTGTGAAGTTCACTTTTCATACTAACTCAAAAAGACCTCAGTCTGTTTTCAAAGTTCATTACAAAACAAAAAAAATTTTTTTGTTTGTGTTTTTGTTTAACTTCCTCAAGGGGCACCTAGCCTCACTCAAGTGGAAATCTGAAAGAACATTACAACCTAGTAGCACTTATTAGAACAGAGCAAGCACTCACATGCAGCCCTAGAGCAAACCTCACTTACAACAATCTCCCAAGGCCTCTCAACCTGCCTGCCAGCCCCCAACTGAGCTTCCAGCAGAGGATAAAGTGTGCAATCTTACCTAGCCATGGGTTCCCTTCAGTGGTCTCAATGCCTGTCACCTCCTTTTCCTTTTGCCTTGAAAAGGTGGTCTCCTCGTCCTCGGCATCTCCTAAGTCTGCAGCCTGGAAAGAGTTGGTTGGGTTTCAGGTTCATCTCCAGCAGTGCCCACGAGACTATACCCCCCTTCCCCCTCACGAGAAGCCATGGCGCCCACCCACTCTCCGGGCTCCCACTACAGATGCGTTTGCTCTTGTTCCTGGGGCTCAGCGGTCCCTACCGCGGCTCCCTGGGAGTCGGGTGTTCTAGAGGGCCGGCGACGTCCTCGAGGAACCCGCCGTCCCCAGGTGGCGGGGATGGGAGTTCCTCTTCCCCTAGCCACCCCTTCCGGCCCCACAGCCTTCCTGTGCTCACACTCACCGGTCGAACCGCCAGCCAGCTCCCTCAGCACCGTTCTGCTAGGTCCAGTGGCGCTCCCAGCAGCTTCTAACCGAGCCGGAAGGAGGCCCGGGCAGCCGGCGGCGCCACGTCCCCAAGGAAACCGCAGAGAGCCAATGACTGACAGGGGACCCGCGGAGATGAGCGGCGGGCAAACCAGCTCCGTCGGCCGCACGTCGGTCCGCCAGGGTGGCCAATCCCCTAGAGCGCTCGGCCTTAATGCCCGCCCCGGGATTTCGTGCGCGTCCAATCCGGAAGGGTGGCGAATGGGGCTCCGCCTGGATGGGCCGGCGGGGGCTCACAGTGGGAGAGGTACCGAAGTGCGCCCAGGTACCCAGCGGCTGTTGCCCTCTCGGTGGCGCGAGTTCTCTGCTGGGCTTTTTCTCTGAGGCTGTTTTCGGGACAGAGAGGCTCGCCTTTTTGGGGAGTGGGGGTGGGTGGGGGAAGGTTAGGAGCCGGGGGTTAGCGACAGAAGTGCATTCCTTGCCTGCAGCCAATCAGAGGTTTTGTGTCCGCAAACCCTGCTCTCCAGAACGGCAGTTCTCCCTACAGTCTCTCAAACATGCCCCGGATTCCCTGTCTTGTCCCGTGAGAAAAAAAACATAAGTTAGGGACAATGACGACTACATCGAAGCACTTATACCCATTCATTCAACATTCAGTGAATGTCTACTGTGAGCCAGACATTACGAGCGGTTGTGTTACGACCTCCCAGAAGTTACGGTGATACACACAAGGATAATGTTTCCTGAATGTTGCTTTTTTGCCATGGTTATATCAGGGGTTCCTCTCATTTCCAGGAGGGAGCCGCTTGGACAGGATGAAATCCAAGTCCTTACAAACGTGGCACACACATGGCCGTCCACAACCTGCCCATGCAGCCTCTTCCACTGCTCACCTCCCTTTTTATGCTCCAGTCGCACACCTCTGGTTTCTGCCTCCTCCACCTCTCGCCTCCACCTGCCTTGATGCTCTTTGCCAGATGAACTCAGCCTCGTCCCTTACCCTCGATTTAAGGGTCACTTTCCCTAAAAGCCTTACTTGATCTACACCTCCTTTATAGATGCCTACTGTTTGACTTGGGCTTCCCTGGTGGCTCAGAGGTTAAAGCGTCTGCCTGCAATGAGGGTTCGATCCCTGGGTTGGGAAGATCCCCTGGAGAAGGACCTGGCAACCCACTCCAGTATTCTTGCCTGGAGAATCCCATGGACGGAGGAGCCTGGTGGGCTACAGTCCACCGGGTCGCAGAAGAGTCGGACACACACAACTGAGAGACTTCACTTTCACTGTTTCATTTACCACGTTGAGTTAGTTATATTTATGTATGTATCTATCCCAATAGACAGGATATCCTTGAGGGCAAGGACTATCTGCTTCCACAGCAATGTTGGACACTGCCTGGCACACAAAATATGATTCATATATGACAAAAAAGTGAATGAATGACTGTGGGAATAAATGAAGACCACCCAAATGAGAACAAAGAGGCTATTCTATGCCTCATTAAACAAGGCAGTCATTCACTATCACTTGGCATCTGGCAGAGAACTAAAGACTGTCAGGGGAGTGGGAAAGTTTAAGGTAGAAAAACAAAAAGGGAAGATTTCATGTATACACTGATTTGAGAGTACTGGCATGGGGGAGCTGGAGGCAGGCTCACTAGAAGTATGGCATCTTATGTGATTGTTTTGGTGGCACATATTTGATTTTCTCCAGTTGGTCCTGAGTTGGAAGAGCAAAAATGGGGGAGGCTGACAGTCACTGACCAGTCCTAAGAATTCTGGGCTGATTACTGCAGAGATCGATTGCTGGGCTGATTGCTGATTGTGGGTCAGAGTTTTAATTGTCATATGTGGTCTGACCGTTACCCAGTTTGTATATTCAGTCTCTTGTGACTGTTTCTTTTTTCCTCCATTACCCTCCCAACCTGGTTGAGTTTCCTAGCTTGCTTCAGTTCTCACCTTTCTTCTTTGTCCCTCAATCCTTACTCCGCTTTAAGTGTTATATTTTATCCAGGCCCCCAGAAACTACATTGAGTAGAATAGTCGTGTAAAGTTAGGATTAATTACAAAAATATACAAATGCCAAGTAGTTTTTTTTATCCTAGAGCCCAGTTTGGTGCCTGGAAAAAGGTAGATGTGGGAAAAATTCAACAAATGTTTTGGCTTTTTTCTTTTTTAATTCTTGAAGTTGCCTACTAACTATGCAGTTATAAATCTAATCTATGTATGTTTCAAATTCCAGTGTTCCACTAAATGAGTGTTTTTGAGCAGAAATAAAATTCCTATTTCTGTTTTAAACTGTACTTAATGTATATGGCTGATGAACTATTAGAACTTGATGGTGCATTCAAACATCTTCTAATTTACATTTCATAACTACTGTTACAAAACAGAAAAGAGAACTTCCCTGGTGGTCCAGTGGTTAAGAATCTGCCTACCAATGCAGCGTACAGGGCTTCAATCCCTGGTCTGGGAAGTTTCCACATGCCACAGGACAACTGAGCCTGTGTGCCACAGTTACTGAGCCCGCAGGCTCTAGAGCCCATGCTCTGCAACAACAGAAGCCATCTTGGTGAGAAGCCTGCTTTCCATAACTAGAGATTAACCCCCACTCACCGCAACTACAGTGAAGGCAATGGCAACCCACTCCAGTGCTCTTGCCTGGAGAATCCCATGGACGGAGGAGCCTGGTAGGCTGTAGTCCATGGGGTCACTAAAAGTCAGACATGACTGAGCAACTTCACTTTCACTTTCAGGCACTGGAGAAGGAAATGGCAACCCATTCCAATATTCTTGCCTGGAGAACCCCAGGGACAGAGGAGCCTGTTGCGCTGCTGTCTATGGGGTCACACAGAGTTGGGCACGACTGATGTGACTTAGCAGCAGCACCACCACAATTAGAGAAAGCCTATGCACAGCAATGAAGACCCAGTGCACCCAAAAATAAATAAATAAATACAATTTAAAAAACAGAAAAGAAACCTACATTTTAATCCCAATACTGCCTTTAAGCATTTGTAAAGCATGATTCTTTACAAAAGCCTGCAGTGCTTATTTGATTAACAGCTTACAGGCCTGAGTTCTGAGGTTTCCAGTCAGGCGGCCAAAAAAATGGGTTGAGATCATTTCTCCATCCCATTTGCTGTAATTCAACATGTTGAAACAAATTACAGAAATACGCATTTCAAAACAGGTTTTTAACTGCTTTTTACAGGCTTGTCTACAATTAAATTTGCAATTTTCTCAAGATATCCTTGACTCTATCCAGCAAAATCAGTCAAACCAGTCCCACACTATGTGTTAGTTGTATGCTTTGCTTAATTTCTCATCAATTCTCCTTCATTCCACACTCCATCCTGCCCTAACCTCTAATGGAGTTTAATGTGGTCTTTGCTATCCCCTCCAAGTTTACTGATTTCTCCTGATGTGTCCTGTAGGTACTTTATTGTCCAAGACCAAATTCACTGTCACTCCACTCATCACCTTATCCACCCAAACTTCCTCCATGCATATTCCCAACTTTGATGAAATACCCTGTGATTCACCCAAGCAGAAATCTGCAAGTCATTCTTGAATCTATTCTTTCTACTTCCTTTTCCCATTCCATCCAGTTAGTCACTGGGTGTTCCTAATTCAAAGACCTAAAATTCTAATATCTTCTGCTGAAATCTTCTAACTGGTCACCCTACCTCCAAAGACCCATGCTCCTCTTGAGTACCCTTCCATTGTGACATAGTGAAATATAATCATGCTATTTCCTGTTTTAAAATCCTTCTGTGGTTTCCCATCCCAATGAGATATAGTCCAAATTCCTTGGCATGGTGTGGCAGATTCTGCTGACTGTTCACGCCAAACACCAATGACCTCTCTTCCACCTTGTTAACAGAATCCCAATTTTATTCTAGTAACCACACTGCTATGCTTGGCTATGTGTTTCAAGAGTGCTAGCTCCCACATCAGCCCTAGAGAGTAAACTGTGACCGGTCTGTATCCATCACAGTGGCCTATTCCTTTACCAAATATTGAGCCTGGGCATATGGTACAGTTCTAGCTAAACGGAAGTCAGCTGTTGGGAGGAATGGGAGGAGGATGAAAGACATTTTTGGGAAAGATTTCCTCCATCTTAAAAGAAATTAAAAGTTTACATAATGAGAGAGAAGAAAAGGGCTCTTTTCTACCTCCTGAAGGATACCTGGAGCTGCTGTAGTCATCATAAGATGGGTAGGGGGCAAGTCTGGGAATAACAGACTAGAAATATAGAAAAAACATGGGAGAAGCCCTATTTACAGACTTATGATTTAAGGCACTAAATTCATAACTTTTCTTATTTTTTAATCAGTTGAATCAGGGGGTTCTGTTAGCTGTGGTCTCCTAACTGATGTGTGCTTAAGTCGTGTCCGATTCTTTGTCACCCCATGGACTGTAGCCTGCCAGGCTCCTCTTGTCTTGGCTTAAAATGCCTGATATGGTCTAACCCCCAATATCATCCAAGCTCCTCAACAGGTATTCTCACATACAACCCTGACATATTTACAGTTCTCAGAATTATGCCTTTTCTTGCCTCTGAGCCTTTGCACTTCTTATTACTTCTATGTAAATGACTTTCTTTCACTTCTCTTCCAAACGAACTCCTCACGTGACAGCTCACGTGTCACCTTCTCTCTGTGAGCTCCCCCAGTCAGCCCTTGTGCTTCCTATCTGCTCGTGTAGCACTGTGCTCACGCATACTTCTATTAGGGCAGGAATTGTTTTAAAAGCTGGCGGCTGTTTGAGTGGGCCTGGTATCAGCTGGCCTGGTAGGGAGACAGAATATCTAGGTTTTGGATGATAATGGGTATGTTTGGTCAGGGAAAGTGGGATCCCCTGGGCTTACTCTAGATGGGAGAGGTTTAGACCAAGAAGACTTCAATTACTCTCCAAATAAAACACAGACATTTTGAGCATTCCCTCTAGAGACTGGGTTTGGGGAGCTCTGGTAAAGAAAAAAAAATGAGATAAAAGAAAGATGAGGGACCTGTGCAAGGTGGTAGCAGACAAGACAGGAGAGAGCAGCCCGAGAGAGTCTCCATATTGTTTGTCTATAGTTGTATAAGAAATGATCTCTCACACATGCACCCCAA